AATGCATTCCACTCAAAAAATGGTGATATCTCAAACAAGAGTAATGATCCTATGAGACCTTCTTATAGTCATGTGTATAGGACCCTAAAGGATGGCCATTAAATTTGACACAGATCTCTAGAAAAGTTATTACATGGGTGTGGGATTTGACTTTTCTAGAGATATGTACCAAATTTAATGGTGATCTTTTGGAGTCCTACACACATGGGTGTAGGAGGGTCTCATAGGATCATTAATCCGCAAACAAAATAGATTTGAGAAAAGGAAAAAAAATAGAAATCTGGAAAAGATAGAAGTCCCTCCGACATACATATGGAAGGAGCCTATACTGGTACTCATGTAGATGTACATCATACTAGTATTTCCTCACAATCAAAAGTGGACTATGTTGAAGGCCCAAACTACATCGTAGCTTCTTCGGTTTTTTTCCCTTAAGGGTCAAACTACATTTTTTTCACCACTTTATATGTAGTTCGATCCTTGAAGAAGGGCCATAATCATTGTTCTCCAAAAACGTTTGGAATGTGATATCTAGGTTGATAGGCCAAAAACGTTTGGAATGTGATATCTAGGTTGATAATCCTATTACCCTTCTCAAAATCTTGAACATATATTGAATAATATAGAAAATGTGCCAAATTACCCTTCTCAAAATCTTGAACATATATTGAATAATATAGAAAGTGTGCCAAAAACTTTGGTAACACAGGACCAATAAGGGCCATGTCACATGCCTTCTTCTGAGGAAATAACGGGGGTCTGTCAATGGCAGAAAGATATGATTGGCACACAAGTTTTTGAAGACCTTGCTCATATTGTGCATGGTGAGAGATTAAATGAGGATATGGTTGGCACACAAGTTTTTGAAGACCTTGCTCATGTTATGCATGGTGAGAGATTAAATGGAGGTCTCGAGGCAACTACATGAGGAGGCACCTTGGAGGGGTGAATAGTAATATTTTTAATTTTCAAGAGAGTTACGTTGGAGGCACCTTGGAGGGGTGAATAGTAATATTTTTAATTTTCAAGAGAGTTACGTTGGAGGCATCCAAGAGAGAAGTTGTAATTTAAGGGCTTATTTGATAAATTGAAGCAAGTTCATGAACTGTAAATTGGAAATTTTTAAGTTCTGTAAACTTAAGATGTTCGTAGTTTATATGTTTGATAACCTCTCTAAGAAGTTAAGAAGTTCTTGGTTTCTGTGTTTGATAACCTCCTGAAAAGTTAAGAAGTTCCTGGTTTTTGTGTTTGATAACCTCCTGAGAAAGAAGAACTGAGTATCTATATTGGATTAGAGAAAAAACTGGTTTTCATCCCATTGGCAAGAGTTACATTTTTCATATGTCCACCACTAACACTACATGATTAAAATGCATTTTGGTTTCCAAACCGGCCTATAGTCCTTACCAAAAAAAACATTATTGGGGGTAGATATCATCTTGAACTGGGTATCTGTATTGGATTAGAGAAAAGACTGGTTTTCATCCTATTGACAAGAGTTATATTTTTCATATGTCTACCACTAACACCACATGATAAAAATGTATTTTGGTTTCCAAACCGGCCTATTGTCCTAACCTAAAGAAACATCATGGGGACAAATATCATCTTGAAGTTTCCCAAAATCAATGGCAGTCATGTAATTTTTATTAAGTGTATATTATCTTGAAGTTTCCTAAATCAATGGCAGTCATGTAAATTATATAGAATAGGTTTTGTTTTCTATTTCTTTATTTGTAAAGAATAGGTGCACATAATTTCCATCTGTAGACTTCCACAACAATAATATGTCATATGCAGCCAAAATTAAAGCAGCCTATAGACAATGTTCCATGATAAACTTCCACGCAAATGTTCCATGCTAAACTTCATTGCACCTCAAAATTAAAGTAGTCTATAGACAATGTCAAGCAATAAGAAATCAACCCGTTCAATAATAACTTGAGCACTACTTATATTCAGCACGGATGCATCTGTATCAAGCAACATTCACAATTCATGCATCCATAAAGAAAACTATGTATAAAACCAGCCCATTCAATAATAACCTGTAATAGTTTAAACATACATCATTCAAAATGCAATAGAATGAACACAACATAAAAAGTTAAATGCAGAACAATGTTTAATTACAAGTGCTAGCGACTTAACTAGGCCTCCCACAACTGCGTCGCTATGACATCTCGCAGATTGACGCCAACGTCATGATCAACGTGGCGCTGAATCAATTGCGAAAAACCATCTTCTCCGTCAATTAAGAGTTGACTCTCAACTCTCCTTCGAAAACGTGGTTGTCTTCTGCTATCGGCTCCCCGAGGCATCATGATGTAGTTGTACAATATTGCACATGCAATAACTACATCAACCTGTGTTCGTAAAGGATACTGCATTTGATTCCTGAGTACAGGAAATCTAGCTTTCGAAAGTCCAAATGTCCTCTCCACCACATTTCTAAACATAGAATATTGTTTGTTGAATAACTCATTGTGATTCTGAGGAGCTCTTGGGCCTGAAGTAAATTCGTTTAGATGGTAACGGACACTTCGATATGGTCCTATGAATCCACGTATAGTAGGATACCTACCATCTACAAGGTACTATTTTCCTGTATCATGTTTGTGCAATGAGTATATTGTAAGGTCAACTATTAAACTAGAAATATTGTACAAACCGAAGCAACGAAACATAAGAAGGAATGGAGTTACCCTCAGGTGCTGCAAGCATACTGCCTTCATTACTAATTGCGTCATATAGGACTTTAGAATTTGATGCACATCCTTCCCAACCTGCAAGTACAAAATGGAAGCGCATATCGAAACCAACCGCAACCATAACATTCTAGCTTAGAAAACATTTTCTGTTTCGGAAACGATTATGCAATCGACAACGAACTCGAGCAGGGAGATGAGTGCCATCAATAGCTCCGACACAATCTTATTAAGAGAAAAAATTATACTATTATGTATTAATCAATGGATGCGAGAACAACAATGTGAATTACTTAACACTCGCATACCTTGAAATATGGGTAAAATCGTAGTGTATCACTAGTAATGTGGGCCGGTGTTTTGTTGCTTGCTAGTTGCAGGAACAACGGTTCCAATTGTAAGATGGCTTGTAAAACTCTATAGAAGTAGTAACTTATGATCTGCTTTGAATGTTGGAACCGTTCCTGGACCACCCTATTCCGTTGATCATGTGTGACGGTACTTAAAAATATGGTTACTTGTTCATCAACTGCCAAATATCTTGTATCTGTAATGTTTGTCCTCTCCTTTAACAAATTACATAGACTGATAAAAGCACAACTTTTCATTCGTAATTGATCGAAACACTTACGAAGGTGCCCTGACAGCAAATATTTGACATAATTGGCCCCAGTAAAAATTTAAGTATGAACCCACGTTCTCTTCTTTTGCGTAGCGATATAGCAACATACAATGCACAACATTATATATGCAACATATAATATTACCACCAACCGACGCCGTTGGGGATCCATAACTAGAAATAGAAGAAGGCACCCACATTAAATTAAAGTAATATTTTTAATCAAACCATAATATGAAAGAAGCCATCCACATCCATAGAGAAAACCATGAAACAACATTTGACATTAAATTGAAAGAAACCATCCACATACAAATGAAAGAATTTATCCAATACATATTTGTAAAATGCAAACCATAAAATAATCTCTATCAAACCATAATATGAAAGAAGTCATCCACAAAACCATGAAGGAATCTTTGATATTAAAATGAAAGAAGCCATCAAATTACAAATGAAAGAAGTCATCCACATACATATTTATAATATGGAAACCATAAAGAAAATATAGTCAATCAAGTATTTAGAGGTTTTTCATCTCTTCATCCAAGTAAGACTTTCGTATCCTTTGATCCGACAAGTTTAATGTCTTCAACAATCTTTAAGGCATCTCTCCTAACCTTGGACGGACCATCTACCATAGGAGTACTGTTGTTATATGCGGTTTCACGTGCTAGCATCTTAATGCTTTCGGCCACCTCTATCATGACTTTAATCATGGAGTCATTGAAGGTGGGTTGATTTGATCGGCGTTGTGTTCCTATCGGAGTATGGGACCGTCATTTTTTTAATCCAGATGACACTGAGTCATCAGATGAGGATGAGCTAGATTGGACCTGGACTTCTACAAGGGGAGGGTGTCATTAGAAAATACAGTTTCGGGCCTTTCTGGCTAAATTGTAATGCCACCCCCAATCGATTTGTATGTCCCATCTGTTGTGTTGCCCTCATAGATCTTACTTAGCAGCAAATATTTGGGCAAAGTTTTGTTATGATATTTATTTGCCCATTCATTCTCCTACATATAAAAGATCATAAATTATTTTTAGTGATATTCGTATTTAAACATATTCAAAAAAAATTTAAGCTTATGCAAATGAGTAATTACATACCGTTAAGAAGTCAATCCAAACAGCACTCTCGGCGGTTACTATCCTCCTCCTTTCATCCCATTCAAACCCGGATACATTCATTAGTTTTTTTATGTCACTATACATGGTTTTGAAAAACTTGTACTTGTTTTTTAACTTACTTTCCGTGTTTATTGGCCCAAATTTAATTGTCATTGCTTCTACCATCTGTTTCTAGGAACTTTTTTTAAAGCCCTCCGCCCCCTTTGCCTTGGATACAATCCTACTCACTTTTTCCATAAGTTCAATGAAATGATCATCTTCTGCATGTGTCCATTGCAAGTTTCTTTTGGATCCTATATTCTCATTCGCTATGCTTGATGACGTGTTGGATCCATCCTAAAATAGGGAGACAACAATTTATATTATATATAATTATTGAACCCCACACATCCACTGCACACATCATTATGGACTATGAACCAATATATATGATACAATTATCGAATTTTATCATTCCTTACATCACCACTCATCTATCTCAAAAGAGAATTGTGAGAGAGTCATGAATTATGAGGACTTAGGGGTTTTACACTATCAATTCCGCACAAGAGAATGATTCCCATAATAATTTATACATTGTTTCTATTTTCATTTTTTATGGATTAGCTTTCTATGGATGGATTTGACTCACTTAGGAGCTTGTTTAAGTAAACAAGTCAAGCCAACACAAGCTCGAGTATCACCTTCCCTTAATCAATTGAAGCTCAAGTGGGGTGATTCAAGCTTGAATTAAGTCATGCTTAAGCTAGTCATCCAACCATACGATAATATGCATAACCTCTGTCATAAAAACACCAGTCTCTACCATTTGAGCTTGTCTCTTCTCCTAGAGTCAAAGGGCTATTATGAAGAACGAACTCGGAATTCTACACAAGTTCAGACTCTTGAATAGATCATTAGAAAAATCTAAAGTAATCGAATTTCTCAAACAATTCTCATAAAGTCCCCTAAATAGTTTATATGGCATAATAAAGTGTATAAATTCAGCAAATGCCCATTTTGTCGCATTCCTTTGATGCAAAAACAACATAAATCTATGTGTGGAGTTAATCTATTACACACAGCATGTGATCATCTCTAAATTGATAAATTTGGTCAAGATATGATTCAATTACATCAAGAGAGATGATGGTCAATTAAACTTAAGATGAACACACCTCAAAATCAAATAAAAAAACGAAAAAAAAGCCATTCATTGAATTAAACAATACATTTCTTTTCAAATGTGCCTAAGAAGATATTATTTATGGTTAGTTCAGGCACTGCAGATGACTTTAACTGTAAAGAAAATTGCTATATCATTTTAAGAAATGAAAAGCAAATCAAAATGAATACCAGGTAAGAATAAAAGATGGATTGGGAACTGGTTTTGTAGTAAAATCTGTCCAATAGAATCAAAAATCTAAAATGCAGACGTGTCAGCAAAAGCTCTTGCGATGGATGACTTTATCGCAAAAACTCGAGCATGTAGTTGAAAAGAAGGTAAAATCTAAAACCTTATATGCTTTCCAAATTAAACATGTAATTTGTACCAAATTCTGATCCCAAAATCTCATCTACACTTGAAGATAGATTAAATAGCATTTGAAAATTACAACAAAAAGCAAGTACAATCAATTTACAACATTTGCATGGACAGTCCATATTGGAGTTTCCGTATTGATAGATTCATAGAACATTAAACATTCATAATTTATCAAGAAGGCCATATTGGAGTTTCCGTATTGATAGATTCATAGAACATTAAACATTCATAATTTACCAAGGAGAATTCACATCCAATACACAGAAGCTACAATGTTTAATTACAAGTGCTAGCGACTTAGGTAGGCCTCTCACAACTGCGTCGCTATGGCATTATTACGGACTATGAGCCAATATACATCCATTGCACACATCATTATAGAGTATGAGCCAATAAACATTGTACAATTATCGAATTTTATCATTCCTTATGTCACCACTCATCTATCTAAAGAGAATTGTGAGAGAGTCGTGAATTATGAGGACTTAGGAGTTTTACACTATCAATTCCACACAAGAGAATGATTCCCATAATAATTTATATATGATCTGCACAAGAGACATAAAAAAATTGCACATATGTTGTGCTCTCTCTCTCTCTCTCTCTCTCTCTCAAGGCAAGATTATAATGGCACACGACATTTGAACATACATAGAATAACCTATAATAGTTTAAACATACATAATAAAAAATGCAAGAACTAATAAATCAGCCCATTCAAACATACATGCACAATGCGAGCAGTAAGAAATCAACCCATTCAATAATAACCTGCAATAACTTGAGCACTACTTATATTCAGCACTGACGCATCTGTATCAAGCAACATTCACAATTCATGTATCCATAAAGAAAACCACGTATAAAACCAACCCATTCAACAATAACCTATAATAGTTTAAACATATATAATTAAAAATGCAAGAACTAATAAATCAGCCCATTCAAACACACATGCACAATACAAGCAGTAAGAAATCAGCCCATTCAACAATAATCTGCAATAACTTGAGTACTACATATATTCAGCACTGATGCATCTGTATCAAGCAACATTCATAATTCATGCACCCATAAAAAAAACCATGTACAAAACCAACCCATTCAACAATAACCTGTAATAGTTTAAACATACATAATTAAAAATTCAAGAACTAATAAATCAGCCCATTCAAAGACACATGCACAATGCCAGCAGTAAGAAATCAGCCCATTCAACAATAACCTGCAATAACTTGAGCACTACGTATATTCAGCACTGATGCATCTGTATCAAGCAACATTTACAATTCATGCACCCATAAAGAAAACCATGTACAAAACCAACCCATTCAACAATAACCTGTAATAATTTAAACATACATAATTGAAAATGCAAGAACTAATAAATCAGCCCATTCAAACACACATGCACAATGCAAGCAGTAAGATATCAGCCCATTCAACAATAA